ATTCTCCATCCATTTTTATCACTCAATTCTCTAGCCCCTTCTCCTCCACATGTTCAAAATAGTTTTATACTACACTTAAAGTCATATACATGTAAATACATGTTTTTTTACATAAGATAAATTGAATTAGAGAGAGGCGAGAAAAACTTATTTATGTATTTAATTTACATGCAAATCATAGTAAATACACATAAAATACATGAATTTAATTAATGTGATTCACATATACCCGAGGTACTAAATAAACTTAGCTACATACGTCTTTTTTGGCGTTTATAGATGGAGATTTCGAGAAAATTACGCGGTTAAGCAAATTTATACTACTTAATTACTCATCAAGCTAAAGTTTGCTATAATTATCACTCGTGACTAACACATTAATATGTGGTCTGACTTCGAGTTTGTATAATTAGTCACATTTGTATATCTATAATTCGCCGGAATATACAAATACATATGTATAATATACAAGTATCTAACCGATATAGATATACAATCCACCTCTCTCCCATTCTCCGTCCTCTCTCCTCCCTCTCCCAATCTCGTTTGCCATATATATACAAATGAATATGTAATATATACAATTATCTAACCGATATACATATACAATTCACCTCTCTCACTCTATACCCTCCCTCACTCCCCTCTCTCCTCCCTCTCCCAGTCTCGCTTGTCATATATACAAATACATATGTATAATATACAATTATCTAACCGATATACATATACACTTCATCTTTCTCCACTTTTTTTCCTCTCTCTGGCCTATCTCCTCTCTCTCCCAGTCTCACTTGCATCTCTCCTCCCTATAACATGTAGCTACAAATTGCAATTATCAAACTATAGTTATGGAATAATTGAGCTATTTGAGTGGATATATGTGAAAGTTTCTCCTATTATATATATAATACATACGATCAAATATAATTTAATAGAAATTTGAACAAAACGCGTCAAGTTTTAGAACAGTCATTACTCTTTAGGTATTCCGCTTTTTGAATTATGGTCATGTTCAAGTCGGTACGTACTCTCTAATGTGGTTAAATGTGTATAGTAGCTATCATTTATTAATAATTTATTTATACAACACAAAATAAAGTATTTGTTTTGTAGTCATATGACAAAATTAATGTGGTGTCTAAATATCATGTGCCAATCAAATCACTAACTTTGTAAAAAGAAAATCTTTTGTTTTTTTTAGAAGAGCCACACCTTTGAACTAACTAGTGGTAACATTGATTGACAACTCATGATATGTGACTTGGCCAAGACCTAATTTTCTGTTACCTATTAGCCCCAACCCAAGGATTGGTATAATACAAAAGTTTAGCTAACAACTTTTATAAAGTTTAATGAATAGATAGGTACGTTTTTGTAAGAATTATATAAGATATACTTGAGCTGATTTGTAATATGTCTGGTGGAACACAAATATCTATTATAGTTCAACTTTGTATAGATTTAAGTATATATTTTATGCTAAAATATTGTAGAATCATTAAAATATTAGTTTATCAGCTATCAATCGTTATCAATTCGCTTATCAGTTTAATTGCTTTAAAGATTTTTTACACACGGAAAAGAACATTGAAAATCGCTTAGTACTGAATGAACCGTGGACATGAATTGACATATTGCATCTTGTTCAAAAGCAAATGTCATCACCTAATTGAATAATCGAAAGTTCGTAACATTCACAAATGAATTATAATTTATTAACTTACTATCGGATTGTCAATTAACCCGTTAAGAAAAAAAAGTTAATCTGTGCTCTAATGAAATTGGTCGAAAGAAATATACATTTTCTGGCTGGAGGGCGATCATACCCTAAACTAAAAAAAATAAAAGTAAATTAATGTGATTGTGACATCGTAAGTGATTGCAAGAGTAGTCTGTCCCCCTCCTCGCTTGGTATATTAATCTCAAATAAGGCGTGCAAGTCTACCTTTTAGTAATCACTATCGAAGCGAAGAAAAAACTAGCTGAACTAGACTCATGTAGGGTCCAATATAGTGATTTTGAAAATGACAATATTTTTGTTTAAATTTGACAGCCTAATTATTGGTTACGTTCGAAAAATACTTGGAGATTCATATCATGAGGGTTGACAAATGAACGAGCTAAATCGAATAAAAATTGAAGTGAAAAATAAAATAAAATATTATATTTGGCTATATATATTAATACCAAATAAAGTTGGATAATGTCACTTGGATAAGTTAGAGCTAAGTGCCAAACTTCTGTCTAATTTAAAAAAATACATAACTCAATAAAAGTTAACAATTTAGTTTGATCAAACCATATAGGATAATATATAGATTGATTTATATTTGACCCGCTTTTAACAAATTGATTATCTGGTCTATTTTTAATTGTATGAAATGAAAAAAATATTTTGAACCAATAACTTTTAGTAAGCACAAATATTCTAGCAAAGCTTGAGGTATATTTTAATCTTTTTCATATAAAAATTATTTTTTGACTTCTTTGATTATAATTACTCAGGTTCTGCTTTTCCTTTCATTCTTTAGCTTAAAAAAATTAAAATTATTTTTTGTGGATTTATTGTAATTTAATTTTTGTATTTGTAAAAGTAAAATTAAAAAATAGAGCATTTATAATAAATTTTACAAAAAAATTAGTGAAACATAAATAAATTTGGCCATTAAAATAATACATTTATATTATTCGTTGGAAAAGGAAAGAAAAACGTGTGAGGAGAATCAAATATACCTTATAAGGATTTTTTTTTCTTCAAAAAAAGTAATTTTAAAAAAATAATTAAATTTTTTTTCTTTACTTTCTTTTGAGAAAACAAATATGTATAATTCATTTATATAATAATATAGATATATACGAGTCACCTTCAGTGCATATTTCATAATATAATCCTAGAATTAAAGTATATAAGTACCTATGTATGACCTTAATACGAGTCCACCGCTTGTTGAACTAGAGACTATCCAATATTAATTATAATAATATATTTAGTATAATTATATGATTTAGTGGAATTTGAAGTAAGAAGAATGGAATACATAGATTATTCATAATAATGTAAATCATGATCAAGATTATTTTATCAAAAAATTCAGGTCAAGAAGAGATTTGTCAGGTTTTTCCTTGAATATTTTTCATTTGAATTCTACATAATTGTGTTATAATCAAAAAATATTTTTTTTGGTAGAAAATATTTTCTTGTGGAAACGAACTCTACAATATTCATTCTTCTTTTTCTTCGGAAAAGAAGTCTTGGAACTGTATAAATAAAAGAATATTTTGTTGTAAAAAAACACAATAATTAACAATTTAATCATTTAGAGAATTTTGTTAAGGATGATATTTATTAGGGGTGTTTAATATGAAAAATCGATCGAATCGATTCATATAATTTTTCAATAAAATTGTGGACTTTTATTTAAGTGTATAACTGTCTCCAATAACCGAGGATTGTTTTTTAATTAATAAGAAAATCGTAAAACTTCTGAACCGAATTGAATAAATATATTGTATAAATTAACAATGTGTTAGATTAATATATAAATAGATTTTATAATATATTTCAATATAAAAATAATTGTAGGTTCTAGGCCTACGGTGATTGGACGACTTCAATTTTTTGCTCTTTAATTAGCCTTTAATTATTTAGGTTTAAAATTAAAAGACAACAAAATAGACATACCCCATCAAACAATACCATGAAACATATGCAACCACTCTTATTGTAAGTTTAACATCAAACAAAACGGCTACATTCTTGACTTCGTAGTGAAGAATTAAAGTGTTTTTCAAAAGAACATATCATGCAAAAAAAAATATTTATTAATAATATATTTTAAGGTGATACTTTAAAAGTAATTTTTTTTTTTATAAATTATTGAATCATATTAATGCCGAAAAGAAACCAATATGATTGAGATGGTTTTAAAACAACGTAATGTTATCCAAAAAAATTGAGATGGTATAATTTCTTAAAAATAACAGCCCTTACCTAATTGAAACCCCACATGTGTTGTCACACACATATATATATGAAAAAAATCTTAAATATATTTGAACTTTATCTAAAATTACTGTTATTATACAAAATTTTGGAAATGATATTTTGCTCCCGCACTATTTAATAATATATTTTAAAGATATATATATGTCCACGTGAAAATAAAAAATATTGTATAATTATAAATAGTATGTGTCTATATTGACACATATATACCTTTAAATGTATTATTAAATTGTTCAGTGGGTGAAATATCTTCCAGAAAATCTAATATCGTAACAACAATTTAATCAAAATTAAAATATTTTTGAGACTCTTTTCTTTCGGTTATACAATCATAATCAGAAATAGAGGCATTAATGCCTATTTATCTAAATGTTCTATGTATTTTATTGGAAAGTACTATTAGAAAATGAAGGTTCACTACTTTCAATTAATATAATTAAATTCCAATAGCAATTGGTGATATTAAATTATCACAGGTCTAATGAGAAAAACTTAAATCCAATAATTGAATTTTAATCTTTTCCCATTTCATTCCAAATTAGAAAGAAAAAGAAGAAGAAGAGGATTATTGATATTTATACACGTCAACAGTTAGTTAGGACACGTCAGCATCAGTTAGTTAGGAACTTTCAATTTGTTAGTTACAAGTAGTTAGTTAGTGCTGCACATTTTTATTCTGTTAGAAGTCAGTTTATAATTGTATATATAGCTCTTTTGTTCATTGTAATCAATATACATTCATTCCTTTAGCATTCTATCAATGCAGATCAGAAGAGTTGTTCTTCTCTTATCTCCATCAATGGAGTCTCACCATTAACAGATGCACTCTGTTTTACTGCTTCTTCTGTTTCTTTGTTTCTCTTAATCTCAACATGGTATCAGAGCAGGCTTAGATCACTGCCCTTCTCTTCGTCAAATTCCAGTTCATTGCTTCGTCAAATTCCAGTTCATTGCTTCAGGTTTTCTGTTATCATTTCAGTAGATCGAATTCATCATGGTCGAAATCACAGGTAAAAGTTCCACACCAGGAACAGGAGGAAACACAATTGATGTTAATAATCCTCTGTACATCCATCCATCTAATAATCCCAGTTTGATTTTAGTTCCAGTCAGTTTTGAAGGAGTTGGCTATCGATCATGGCGACGAGGTGTAATGAGGTCACTATCTGTGAAAAACAAATTGGGATTCATTACTGGAGAATTTAAACGACCTTCTTCAATATCACCTCAATTTCACCAATGGGAGAGATGTGACAATATGGTCATATCTTGGATTTTGAATTCCCTTAGCAAAGATATTGCAGACAGTGTAGAGTATGTTTCTGATGCAGTTGAATTGTGGAAAGACTTAGAGGATCGATATGATCAAACGAATGGTGGTAAATTGTTTCAAATCCAAAAAGATATCAATGATTTGAGTCAAGGTGTTCTTGATGTTACTGTGTATTACACTAGGATGAAAAAGCTTTGGGAAGAGTTGAGTAATTTGAGTATCAAGAATCAATGCAGTTGACTTGTAGCTGCGGGGGAAAGGAGACTATGCATAAGGCAGAGCAAGATCGAAGGTAAATTCAATTCCTAATGTGTCTTAATGAAGTTTATACTGTTATTAGAGGCAACATTCTGATGATGAATCCATTACCATCCATGGCTCAAGCTTTTGCACTGCTTGGTTCATCGAATCCATCGTGTGGAAGGGCAAACTCTACTACTGCTAGTTCATCAAATTCGACAGGAGGGAGAGTATTCAGAACAAATTACTCATCAAACAACTATCCTGCAAATAATAGGCCTAGACCCTTTTGTGAACATTACAGAAAATCAGGACATGTCATTGACAAGTGTTACAAATTACATGGTTACCCCAATCAAAATAATACTTCAAATGGACAAGGTTTCAATCAACAAAGATACAGCAATGCTCAGAATCAAAGAATGCCAGCCAACCACAATGCAAATAATAGATATGCCAAAGGTAAAGGAGTGGCAGCTAATGTTTTTGCAGATCCAAACATGGGAGAAACTGATGCTTCTAATCCAGCCTACAATGCTAATCTTACTAATGAACAATATGGTCAGCTTATCAATCTGTTACAACGCATTCAATTAGGACAGTCTGGAGATGTAGATTCTGAAGAGCATGTAACTTGTGGAGCTGCAAATTTTGCAGGTACCATAGCTTGCAACTCATCTATTGATTTTGATAAACTGTCATGTGGCTGTCTCAAGTCAAAAACTGATTTATGGATACTGGATTCAGGAGCTACACATCACATGACCTTTAACATCAACCATCTTTCACACATTACTAACCTGCCATATCCTCTTTTAGTTAAATTGCCAAATGGATACAAAGTTAAGGTGACCAAAGTTGGAGATGTTAAAGTTAATGACATGATCACATTGTTTAGAGTTCTGTTCATTCCTTCTTTTAAATATAACTTGATTTCTATCAGCTCCTTGTCCCTAAATCTCAACTGTACTGTATCATTCTCTAATTCATCTTGTATCTTGCAGGGCCCTTCAACGAAGAGGCCTCTGGAGATTGGTAGAGAACAAGATGGATTGTACTTCCTTTGCTCAGACTGTTTAAAAAGAAAAAAGGACAGTCCATTCATTTCAAATGTCTCATCTTCTATACTAGGTTCTCAATGTCAATGTTTCTCTCATTCTTGTAGTTCTATCTCTCACTCTTGCAGTCCTTTGATCAAATCTCAGTGTGATAAGTCTTTTGTAATGAATAATGTACTTTCTGATTCTATGCCTCTTCTACATCATGAGTCTTGTAATGATTTGTTGTGGCACTATAGACTTGGGCATGTACCTTTTGTAAAGATGAAGGGGATTACATCTATTCCTGTAGATTTTCACCCAAACAGCCTTTTATCTGCAATATATATCCTATGGCCAGACAAACCAGACTTTCTTTTCCACCTAAGACTAATAATACATCAAAGATTTTTGAGCTTCTTTATGTTGATCTATGGGGTCCTTACCATATACCTACTCATGACAATTTCAAGTATTTCATTACCTTAGTTGACGACTTTAGTAGAACTACTTGGACACATTTGTTGAGCTGCAAGAGTAATGCCTTACATATCATAAAATCATTTGTTAACATGGTAGAAAATCAGTTCAAAACTAATATTCAAGTCATAAGATCTGATAATGGTCTTGAGTTTGTAAATCAAGACTCTATTCTTTACTTTCAATCCAAAGGAATATCACACCAAAAATCTTGTCCTTACACACCACAACAAAATGGTGTGGTAGAAAGGAAACATAAGTATCTTTTAGAAACAGCCAGAGCCCTTCTTTTCCATTCCAAATTACCTACCAAGTATTGGGGAGAATGTATACTTACAGCTACATATATAATAAACAGACTTCCTTCTGCCATCCTTCACAACAAGTGTCCTTTTACTATATTGTATAATTAAGAGCCTCAATATTCTCACATGAGAAGTTTTGGATGTCTTTGTTTTCCTACTACACCTAAACATCAAAGAACAAATTTGAACCAAGAGCTACACCCCATGTGTTCTTAGGATATCCTTTTGGTATTAAGGGCTATAAAGTTTTAAGTTTGAGTAGTAAGAAAATACATATTTCTAGAGATGTTGTATTTCATGAATCAGTATTCCCTTTTTCCAATATTTCTAATTTTTCTGTTAACAGTCCTTCTTCAAACCCTACATTTGATAATGTTTTCTTGGATAATGATGTTAATCCTTATCCTACCTCTTCAGAGTCTGGACAATGTGATCCCACTTTAACTTCATCCCCTTCACCAAACCTTACAACCTCACAAGATGAACCCCACATCAGAAAATCTACTAGATCCCATAACCCTTCAGTTTATCTCAAAGATTACATGACTTCTTTACATGTCTCATTTTCTAACCACCATCATATAGCTTCTGCATCTTTGTATCCTGATAGTCAGTCACTTATTTTGAGTGTGTCACATAATTGTGAACCATCATCATTTAATGAGGCTGCAATGAATCCTGCCTGGCAAGATGCAATGACACAAGAATTGACTGTTGTGCATGACAATAACACTTGGGAACTCATGCCTCTCCCTGCTGGTAAAAAGTCCATTGGATGTAGATGGGTTTATAAAGTGAAGCATAAAGCTGATGGGAGCATAGAGAGGTACAAGGCAAGGCTGGTTGTGAAAGGTTATACTCAGCATTATGGGTTAGATTATACAGAAACTTTTTCTCCAGTCATCAAAATGACAACTGTGAGAACTTTGATAGCCACTGCTGTAAAGAAACATTGGAATATATATCAATTGGATGTTAATAATGCTTTCCTCCATGGAGAGTTGCATGAAGAGGTATACATGGACATTCCACAAGGATTGGATGTTACTACTAAAGACATGGTTTGTAAACTTAACAAGTCACTATATGGTTTAAAACAGGCAAGCAGGCAATGGTATGCCAAGTTATCTGATGCTTTGAAATCCAGAGGCTACAATAATTCCTTGAATGACTATTCCTTGTTCTATAGAAAACAATGTGTTTCCACTGTGTTTATAGTTGTTTATGTGGATGATATTCTGCTTACTGGAAATGATATTGAAGAGATTGATCAATTGAAAGCTTATCTTCATAATCAATTCAGAATTAAAGATCTGGGAAAGCTACACTATTTTTTGGGCTTGGAAATACTATACATAGAAACTAGAATGCTTATATCACAGAGGAAGTTTGTACTTGATCTTCTCAAAGAGTATCAATGCACAGAATACTCTAGTCTAGCTTCTCCTCTTGACTCTTCAATCAAGCTTAAAGCCAATGAAGGAAAACCTATGGAAGATCCAGTTCATACAGAAAGTTGATTGGAAAATTAAATTTTCTCACCAACACCAGATTGGACATTGCATATGGAGTACAACACCTGAGTCAGTTCATGCAGGATCCTAGAGAACCTCATTTGCAGGCTGCGTTTCACTTGCTTAGATACCTTAAAAAGGATCCAACCTTGGGCTTGTTCATGTCTTCTACTAATGACTACCAGGTCCAAGCCTTTTGTGACTCGGATTGGGCATCTTGTCCTGACTCAAGGAAATCTGTTACTGCTATATTGTGTTGTTGGGATCAAGTCCTATAAGCTGGAAATCGAAGAAACAAGAAACTATCTCTCTTTCTTCAGCTGAAGCTGAATATAGATCTATTAGAAAAGTAGTTGGAGAATTGGTATGGCTAAGTCGATTATTTGAAGAACTAACTATACCATGTACCAGTCCTTTTCCTGTTTACTGTGATAGCCAGTCAACTCTACACATTGCCAAAAATCCTGTGTTCCACGAAAGAACAGAACACATTGAAGTGGACTGTCATTTTGTACGAGCTAAGCTTCAAGAACGGTTGATTTCGTTACATCATATTGGCACTGGGGAACAACTTGCTGACATTCTTACCAAAGCACTCACAGGAGTGAAACATGCTGCAATATTAAGCAAGTTGGATCTTCTTGTCGCTCCTCCAACTTGAGGGGAGGTATTGATATTTATACACGTCAGCAGTTAGTTAGGACACGTCAGCATCAGTTAGTTAGGAACTTTCAATTTGTTAGTTACAAGTAGTTAGTTAGTGTTTGCACATTTTTATTCTGTTAGAAGTCAGTTTACAATTGTATATATAGCTCTTTTGTTCTTTGTAATCAATATAAATTCATTCCTTTAGCATTCTATCAATGCAGATCAGAAGAGTTGTTCTTCTCTTATTTCTTTCTCAAGCTCCATCAATGGAGTCTCACCATTAACAACTGCACTCTGTTTTACTGCTTCTTCTGTTTCTTTGTTTCTCTTAATCTCAACAAGGATTTTGCATTTTTCCTATATAGAGCAAACCTAGGGGAGGATGTAGTTATAGTGTCGGCCGATTCATCTGAATTCGATATTTTCAGTGTGGAGTATAGATATAACATTTTCCTCAGCCTCTATATTTTTTAAAAAATAAATAAGAAAACTAGCATAATCAACCAATTTGATTAATCTACTTGAAACACACAATTATATTTATTTTAAAAAGCAATAAGTCAAAATAAATAATCACGTAGTATCATAGATTAGATTTCATATACGAATACTCCGGGACTATTACATAAAAAATCACTTTCTTTGAAAAATTTCAAGATGTGCTTGATTATAATTTTTGTAAATAATATTTGATTATTTGAATGTATTTTTTCTTTTTAAAAAATATGGAATATAATTAATGAAGATATTTTGTAAAATAAAATAATTTTAAAAAATGGATAGCATTCATATAACTTGTACGATGAAAATTAAAGCCTCACATAGTATCAACAATATAGAGAAGTGAAGTTTCACAGACGCCATGTGAGTGTTTGTTTTTTGATTTTTCATTTTGTGATCAATATTTATATTGAAATTTAATTAAATTTAAATTTGCATTGAAATTTTTTATATTAAAAAGTAAAATATATTTTAATAAAGATGACTCCATACTCAATAAGAGTCAAATCTAACATCTCTAATAAAAAAAAAGAATTACTATTCCACAACAGTTCTCGCGGGTATTTGAATCTAAGTTGGTCTTGTAAGTTCACAAGAAGGAATGAATTTTCATTTTTATTTTTGAGAATTTTACAGCACACTAAGGCAAGTTGTTGTCTCATTTGATGTCTTCTATGGTCATGTCTAGTTGCGTTGAGTTGTTCAAATTGATTTTAGCGACTTTGGTAGTTGGTTTAGACGTAAGTTATATTAAAAAGAATAAATTTTTATTTTTAATTTTGAGAATTTTACAGCTCACTAAGGCAAGTTGCTGTCTCATTTGATGTCTTCTATGGTCATGTCTAGTTGCGTTGAGTTGTTCAAATTGATTTTAGCGACTTTAGTAGTTGGTTTAGACGTAAATTATATTAAAAAGAAGGGAAAATGCGCAAGTATCCCCTCAATCTATGCCCGAAATTTCAGAGACACACTTATACTATACTAAGGTCCTAGTACCCCCTGAACTTATTTTATAAGTAATTTTTTACCGCTTTTTAGCCTACGTGGCACTAGTTTGAAAAAAAAAGTCAACCATCGTTGGGCCCACAAGATAGTGCCACGTAGGTCGAAAAGGGGTAAAATATTATTAATAAAATAAGTTCAGGGGGGTAATAGGACCTTAGTATAGTATAAGTGTGTCTGAGATGTCGGGCATAGATTAAGGGGGTACTTGGGCATTATCCTAAAAAGAACAAATTTTTATTTTTATTTTTGAGAATTTTACAGCTCACTAAGGCAAGTTGTTGTCTCATTTGATGTCTTCTATGGTCATGTCTAGTTGCGTTGAGTTATTCAAATTGATTTTAGCGACTTTGATAGTTAATTTAGACGTAAGTTATATTAAAAAGAATGAATTTTTATTTTTGAGAATTTTACAGCTCACTAAGGCTAGTTGCTGTCTCATTTGATGTCTTCTGTGGTCATGTCTAATTGTGTTAAGATGTTCAATTGATTTTAGCGATTTTGGTAGTTGGTTTAGATGTGACTTAGTCTTATATCACTAAAGGTATGAGAATTTAATCTCCTTATATAGATTCGGACAAATTTACGCTCAT